CCGGAGGTGGGGGCTTGGGTCGGAGCGCGGGGCCGGGAGCTGCCCCACTTGCACGGTCTGCGGGGTTTGGGGGGCTGACAAGTGCCCCCAGCCTCTCGGTCTGCCCTGTGGTACCTCAGACTTTTACCCACATCCCGAAGGACAGGGGGTCCCTGTGCCTGCGCACGTGTTGTTGCAGGCTGGAGCTCTGTGCTGGCCACCCCTCTGCCCCCTGCGGCGTGACGGCCAGCGTGCGGGCAGGGGCTGCCAGCCCGTCCCTCTTGCGGAGGCACGCTGGCAGCAGGGACAAAGTGCTGGCGGGGGCAGCCAAGCCTGGGGTGTCTCGCCCCACTGCTGGCACAGGGCTGGGCTGTGGTGCCGTCTCACCTGGTCATGTCCACTGTGGTGACATTGAACTTGACCCCTTTGAGCCACAGCACCATGAAGAGGCGCTGGCAGAAGGGGCAGTTTCCAATGTTTTCTCCATCCAGACCAGCCTGCCAGGAAAGCAGAGAAACGAGGATTTAACCCATCAGCCAGGCGCACCCAGCTAAGGTGGGATTGCCTGGAGGTGGAGAGCCACTGGAGCCGCTCTCGGGAGGAAGCACATGGAGGGTTTGGCCCAGCACCCCAGCACTGCATGCTGCAGAGAGCCCCTCCCGGCACTGGGGGCTCAGCTGTAGGGCCCCCTCCCCTAGCTGTGACCCTGCTGCCACTGGAAAACATCAGAGTGTCCTCAGGATGCCCAAGATCGGATCCTTCCCAGAAATGTGAGATAAAGCCGGGAGGAAGAGGAGAAGGAGGCAGGGGAAGGAGGCGGAGGGTGACTGCTGATGGATGGGGAGGAAGGGAGGGTCCGCCTGGCTGGGAGGCCAGGCTGGAGAGGGCGGCAAGAAGGGAAATGTGCTCATGTTTGCCAGGAAAAGAGTGGTTTGTTTTCGTGTGCTCTTAGTATCTGCCTCCAGGTTTGTGTGTGTTTAACGAACCCAGGCATGACCTCCCCGGGCTGATGGTGGGCAAGAACTACCCAAGCAACCTCCTTGGCCTCGGGGAGGAGAAGGGGCTGGGGCTGCTGGGGCTGTGCAGACGTGGATCTGCACGGGCATCCCACCCAGCATCAGTGGGGAAGGGAGCCGTGCATCGGCTCCTAAAGCTTCGGTCATGTGCAGACAGTCCCTTTCAACCCCGCTGCGTGGACACAGCCACAGCATCTCAGCACTCAGGGGGCTGCTCTGTGGCCAGGATGGGGTCAAACAGCAGCGGGGACACAGGAAAGCAAGGAGCTTGGGCAACCTGCCCGAGTCCCACCAGGGCTCCCTCATTAGGGTCTCACCCAGATGATGCCCATTCAGCAATCTCAAGGGAAAGCAGCAGCAGGTGCAGTGAAGCCCATTTCCTTGCTATGCAACGGCTGAAAATATCCTTTGCAGAAAGGACTGAAACTCCTTATGAGGAGTTTGGCCAAAAGGAATGGGGCAGGTTCCCCCCAGTGCATGAAAACTGGCACAGAGGCTGCTCAGAGAGGGAAGTTGTGTTGTGGTACAAGAGGTAAAATGGCTCACAGGAAACTCGACTTCTTCAAGAGAATTAACTGGTTCCTCAGCTGCACGTGAACTGGGGTCCTCCAGCGCATGTGGCAGTCCTGCCACTGCAGGGAGGAGCAGCACGGCTCACACCGGCTCCTTCATGGAGGGCTGCCGCTCCCACCGAGCACCTTGTACTGGTGCATGAGCCCTAGTGGGTTGGCTTGTGCCCTGCAGCTCTGCGCTAAGCCTTGATATCAGCTGGTGAGCTGAAGTCCGGAGGGTGATGAGATCTGGGAGGATCTGGTGGTGCAGAAGTCAAGTAGCAGCAATAACATCCAGGGTGTGCAGCTGGAGGTGGCTCCAGAGCTCCCACCTCACTGGGACCCCAAAGATGGCTGAGGATGCAGGGACCTGTGCCTGGCTCTCCTGGGCTGGAGGTAAGTGCTACGAGTCACCTGTCTGTATCTACAGGTGGTCCGAAACCCGTGGGCTCTGGAGTGCTCAGCTTCCCCAGGAGAGAGACACCAGCCTCAAACTCACCCTAATGGAGACAGTAAACAAAACCAAACCCCAATGCTCTGAGTGGTCAGCTGGAGGTGATGTCTGCTTTTCCACTATGCCAACACCTTCTAGTCCTTCCAGCAGAATGAAAATTACTTTGAACTGGTATTTCTTATGCTCAGCTGTCATGAACTGATGTTCCTGAGGAAAGAAATGGGAACTGAGAAATGTGTTGATTCTCTGGGATGTACCCAGAAGTGAAGCTGAATTCACACATGAAGCTTTTTGCTGCCTGTTAATAAGGAGTGCTCCTGGGTGGCTGCTGTGTCCTGCATCAGCTTACATCAAATAAGGCTTCTTCAGTAACAGATAAATTGGGTATTGGATGTCCTGTGAGGGCACGGAGGGGAGAGTCAGAAAACATCCATGAGGGCTACCTGTTGGCATGACAGCAGGGCATCTTGGCTCCCCTTCCCCTCTCCATTGTCGCTGGCACCAAAACTAACGCCATCCTTTGGAGCATCTCCAGCACCAACAGCTCAGAACGTGCTTTTGTGGCTGCCCAGCATGAAGACCGACGCTTTCCTCCCTGCTCTTCTGAGCTGGCCCTTGCTGGTGGCAAGAGGAGAGGGCAGCCGGCCGCCTGCACCCTCCTTTGCTTTCTTCGCTCAGCACAAGGCAATTTATTTTTATTATTAATTGCAATTTATCTCGTTGGCCCCACGGGAGCTGTTGTGCTCAGCCAAGGCAGCGAGTGGCTCTGGGCTCCGGTGGAGTCGTGTGAGGGGCAACAGTGGGGGCTGGAGGGGACGGCTGGGTGGGTGGGATGTCCCTCCCCAGGGCTGCTCTGGGCTCAGGCTGCGCTTGCCTGCTTCAGGCTGCTTTTCTAGTTCCACCCTCCCAGCAGCTCAGGCTGGTTTTCCCCCTTGTCTTTTAAACGTAGAGGTGGGGAATCTTGGACTGGAGCGAAAGGAAAATCAGGACGGCCTCTGCAGGGGAAAGAAACTAGGCCAGGCCCATCCTAGGATGGGCAGAGCCAAACCTTTATCTGGAGGAAGCGTCGGGCAGCTCCACCAGTGCTCGGGCACTGCTGGGCACTGGGCTCTGGCGTGGCCCTGTTGGCACCGTGTGGCCACGGGGAGAGGCCGCCAGGAGCCGGGGGAGCTCGGGGGAAAGAGCTC